ATAAGTGTTTCCTATTCTATTAGGTACCTAAATAGAATCTCTCTAAATATTGATGTCCCAAGAAAGCAATTATACCACCTTTTCTTTAAAAATAAGAGAATATTGACGGGAGGGTGTAGCTCAGTGGTAGATTGCATGCCTAGCATGCATGAGGTCCTGGGTTCAATCCCCAGTCCCTCCATTAAAAATAATAATAAATAAATAAACCTAATTACCCCCCCCCAAAGAGAATGTTATCTTTTAAAAAAAATAAGGTAATACCATCTTAATTTTTTCAAATTTACTTCAAACGTTTCCCCTGCAGTCAACTACTCTACATACCAAAGTAATAACCCTGACACTGGTCCATCTACAGGAATGGTAAATACTACATTATTTGGACATACCTAAGAGCAACCCCCACACTTCAGATGAGCTACTTTTATCCTGTTGTTAAAAAGTTGAACATTTAATAAATTACTGAAGTTTGTAGGATGCTTAGTTCTTTAGTTCTTTAGTAAACTGAGTAATTTATTTTAAATTCATCCCCGCAAAAGGCCGGCAGACCCAATTTTGGTGATTAACCTTCCAAAACATACCCATCTTCAAAGATCACTTTGTAGCTAACCGCTATAAAGTAAACAAGCAACTAAAATTGATGTTAAGGATTGTTTTCAACCTTTCCAAAAGAAATCCACTGTCAGGCCAAGATTGCTTGTATCTTCTGTCTCTAATTATAATTATTTTTATAATTTTGCTGGTGTTATTCATTTAGATAGGATCTTAAAACATAAAATTGGGCAGACAAGATTTCCTAAGGACAGCTGGAAGATTTTTTTTTTAATTTTCTAGCGATAAAGACAAGATTGCTGTTTTCACGTTGAATGGACGTTACCATCCATCTCTTCCTTCCCCAAATAAACAGACTGATAAACAACAGTAATCTAACAAAAAGTGAGAAAAAGAAAGTAGACAGAGCCAGAGAAAGCAAGAGACAGAGCAGAGAGAGGACGATGAAAAGACTTTATAAGAAGCCAAGGGATTCATTGTCACCTTCTGGAACCATCACAGTTTAGGAACCAGATCTAACATAGCAAAGTCCATCTGGCGGGTTCGTCTATTAAGAGGGAGACTGGTAAATTCAGGGTGCTCTTCTGTGTTCCCTCTCCAAACAAAAGGAAAAGTTAATAGCTCGTTAATAAAAAACTAAAATGCCCTGGATAACCCATCAACTCCAAGAAAAGGAATGGGAATGGAGGGGTACTGGTCTTCCTGCAGGCAGCTGTCACGTCCTGAAAAAGCCATCGGTGGCGGATGTGGCAGGTCCCTTCTCCAGAGCTGCCTCCTGGTGCGGACCGTGCACAGAGGAATGCTGTCTGAAGGTCACTAGTTTAAATGCCACAGCAACATCAAGCCAGGGACAACGAATGCATATGGTTTTGAAGCAAGACTGCTTTCTTACGCCAGTGAAGACACCCCTCCTCTCCATCAAACATTAGTTCTCTGTCCCCAGTTCCCGTTTCCCAGCTCACCTCGTGGGATCCTTCGATAGGGTCCGTGTGGCACATTTTTGCTGCTATGCAGGACAGATCCTAAGTGAAGCGGGCCGGTCCTGCCGGCTCCTCCCCCAGGAGCGCTCGCCTCAGCTGCTGCCCCACCCCAGGGCCTCGAGCTCCCTGCCCCAGTCTCGCCCATCCTTTTGGCGGCTCCCCGGGAATTTGCATGAGGTCTTCTTGCCTTTGAAGCTGAGAAATAGCAAATCTAGTAAACCAACCCTTTCTACCTGCTAAGGCGAGGGAGCTAAGGGATCTCCCCTTTCTTCCCAAGGAACAATTGTATTTCAGCAGTAGTTCAACCTAGACTTTCTTACCTTAGCCCACTAGTGACTCTGAGACTCTTAACAGTGGACACAAAGAGGAAGAACATTCTTCTTTTCATTATAAAAATATCACGCAGATTTACTTGGAGGACAAGATACAGCAGCATGTTGACAACTGATAATTCTCTGATGGATTTCGGAGCAATTGAAAAAACCATGATTATATGCGTGTATAGATAGGTAGAGAGATAACTTACTGTTTTCTAAGTTTCCTATAATAATTGTGTATTATTAAATAATCGAATTAACAGTTAAAAAGTAAGATAGTATTTATACATAATGAAATTTATAAATTACAGAAAGAAGATAAAATTTGCCATAATCCCTTCCATTAATCACGAACTAATAAAGGGGTATATTTTTACCCATGTTTCTTCCATGAACGTCTTGAAAGTTGTTGAAATCATCCTGTGTATAACCTACAGTAATATTTAAAAAATCAACTAGTGTTACAACAGAAACTTTCTCATTATTAAAAACTCATGGCAAATACTTCTTTTAATGTTTACTCAGTGTTCAAGAATATGGGTGGACCATAACTGGCTTCCCCTTTCTTCCCCTGTTGAGTATCCACATTATTGGCTTTTGATTGAAGGTGGTGAAAAATACACACATCTGTATTTGAGCCCGTCTGAAACTAAGTGGCAGTCAAAGGACTTTTTTGTTTGTTTGTTTTGGGAAAAACTGTGAAGGATGAAGAGAATAAGAGAGGGGAAAAAAAGCAAAAGCAAAATTTAGTCCTAGAGGCTGAGAAATCCAAGATCAAGGCTTAGTTCATATTTTTGTATCTACATTCACAGGGCTACTGTGCAGCTTTCTTATAACGTCTCCGTTGTGTTTGGTCTCAGAGTAATGCTAGCCTCACAGGAGTTGGGAGGTATTTTTTCCCTCTTTAATTTTCTGAAAGTGTTTGTGTAGAATTGGCAGAATTCTTTTCATTAAATATTTAATTGAATTAACTAGTGAAACTGGATCTGGAGTTGACTTTGTGGGAAAGTTTTAAACGACAAATTCAACGTCTGTAACAGACTCAGGGCTATTCAGGTCATTGATTTTTTTTTCCTGCTTGAGCCTTGGTGCTTTGTGTCTTTCAAGGAATTTGCCTATTTCATGTTATCCAATTTATTGGTAAAAGTTATTCATAATATTCCTTTGATATCATTTTAATATCTATAGATTCTGTAGTGATGTCCCCTAATTTTGGATATTGGTAATATGTCTCCTCTTTTTTTTTTTTTCTGGCTAGAGGATTATTAATTTTATCAGTCTTTTAATTACCTCCCCCACCAAAAAAAATTTTTTTTAATTTGAGAGTTGGGTATAATTAACACCAATAACCTCTTCTACGTATACGTTTTTCTGATTCAACATTCCAGCTCTTCCCTCAATTTTAAGGTAGCATTACGCGTAGACGGAAACTTTTAGTTGAAGGGTAGTCCCAGTCTCCTGGGTCCTGCCTTTCTGCTTGTCGCCGTATTTTCCAGGTTGCGATATTGCTGTCATAATCTCGAGTTCAGAAACAAGAGATAAGTGTGGGTAAGTGTGTGGGAGAGGTTCTGGCCTCCTGTCCCCATCCCGACTCAGCTGCCTTTCATAAAGGTAGATAGATATTCATGATGTATTTTGGAACAATTTATAAAGCGATCATCTTTGGTCTTCACAAATGCAAGCATTAAGGGGAGCTGGAAGCTTTGAAACTGTCTCCTTTTTGGTTATTTATTAACAATGTCAAATTGACAAATCAACATGTCTTTAGTGGTTATAAGAGAGAGAAGGTACTGGTTTGACAGCAGTTTTCTGGCAAGAAAACTCCAGAATGACATTTTCCCGGTGTGTGTGTTTTTCACATTTCCATCTGTGTCTTCTTCTTAAGTAACTACTTCTTCACTGGCTGGCACCTTTATCCAGAGACGGTACCAGTGAGAGTCACTGTTCCTGCTAGGACGGTTTACCTTCAGCGTCCAAGGAATTAGAGGAGAAAACTTGTCCTAGAGTAAATGGGTAGTAAGTCCCTTTTTCGGCCTTTTCCTTCCTCATCAGCTTCCCCACCCCCGCCCCGTCCTTTGTCAAACAGGTGAAGTTGGATAACAGTGAATGTCTAGAGCCAGATCTGCGTATTTGCAGGTGTGTGTTCACAAAGGGAAAGCCAAGATCTTTCTGTCTCTATTTCTTTAGTGGGATGGGATGGGGGCAGACGGATATCCTGGTGATTCGCATAATAGGCTCTGGTCTTTCTTATCCCCGGCCAGGAGCGAAGGGGATGGTTCTACTATGTTACACAACAATATTAGACCTCCAGGACGCTCTTAATGCTAAGTGGGGGAAATGGTGGCATCAAAATGTGCTTGTGAGTGGCAGCCACCATTCCAGTGGGTCTGTGGATACACAGACTGAGTCGCAGGTGTTGAAGCACCAGCAATCCATTAAGAGAGACAAGTGCCTAATTTATCTTTTTTCACCAAAATTACTTCTATTTCCACAAAATTCTGCGTTTTAAAAGCCTCCCTTGCTTCACACAGAAAGCTCACGGCCCCATCCCTGGGCAGCACAGACTGTGGGAGGGGCATTGTTTTCTCTTTTCGCACAATGTCAGCTGCTGCAAAAGGTCCCCTTTGATCGTGAGTGACTTAAACATGTAAACATTTGGGCTTGTAGTGATTTGTGCCTTTTCAACTAAACAGGATGTGAAAACAAAAAGCCAAAATCGAGACAGCATCTTCTGACAGCCAGTTCAGGGACCACAGACTTGGCAAGACCTTGGGCAGTCAAAAGCATCCGTCCTTTGCCAACCCAGGAATTTTGGATCAGTCCCCACTCCTCACAGCTCCCTGGGAGTAGTACATGGCCTAGCACCCACCCTCAACAGTATGTTTGGCAAACAATCTCTTTTCTTTGCCAAGTTAACAATACCATGACCTAGCCACATAGTTCCTTCCAGTACGCCAGAGTTTTAAAGGTGGGGCATTCATGCATTTCAGATTTCAAAAGCCCAGAACTTGGCATCATTCCTGATATGCCTCATACATTTTCCTTTCTCTCCCTCTTTCTTCTCTTTCTTTCCTTCACTTTCTCTCTCCCTGCCTCCCCTCCCTCTCTCCCTGCCTCCCCTTTCTCTCTCCTTCTCTCTTTTCCCTTTCTTCCTTTTGTCTTTGTTTTCACTCCCTCCCTCCCTTTCTTTCTTCTTTCTTACATGCTTTTCAAGAGAATTCAGTTTGCAGAAGGAAAAATGACACCTGACTCACAAGCCTGAGGCCTCCACTTGACCTCAAACCAAAACATAGTAAGAAAGACTCGTAACTGAGATTTCCTGGGCCTTTGTTTGTTACCTGGGCTCCGTAGCCAAGGAGTGACCTCATGTTCTGGTTGCTGAGGGAAAGCAGTTCCTTCTGGGGCACAGTCGGCTCAAGGGTGTTCTGTTGAGGCTCCCAGCCAAGGTTCCTATAGTGACAGCCCATCACGGGTACCAGTACCTGCCCGGCTGGTGCAGGAAGGAGTGTTGCACCGTGCTGGGCCCTCACGGAGGTGACCAGGTGGTACCAAGCCCACTCTCATTACTTCCAGGTTGCCCCGCTTCTCTTATTTGACAAATGCATTACAATCATTTGGAGTAGAGAGGGTCTTTCTGTAGAAAACCTCTTCATTTTCCTTTGCCTGAACAGAGCTTCAGGCAAAAGAATGATAAACATGGAGGATTTCAATCAACCCATGGGTGCTTGTGTTGAGGTAGTTTTAAAATCTGTCGATAGGACAGTGCTAAGGGCATCCACGTGGGGCACAGGCGAGTTCCGTCCCGCTGAGCTGGTGAAGAGGGGTTGCATCACGAATCGGCTCCTCCATGCTCTGCTCCAACCAGGAAGCTGATCTGACAAGAAAGAGTGAATGAACCTCTTTGTTAGAAGTTTCAGTTCTGGATCTCAATCTCCTCACCCCTTCACCTTTTTTTGATCTATTTTTTATTTAATACAATGAGACTTCTTGGGTTTTGAACATCAGTTAAAGGTGCCATTTAATTAAAAAACAATAAGGTGCACTTTTGAAGAAGGGCGTTTTCAAACTCCACACACACTCAGCCTTGACAGCAGGCTTAGTGAAAAACGTCCCAAGAAGGAAAGGACAGCACAGGACTAGCATTTCTCTCTGTGCAACTAGAGTTAGCCTTGGAAAGCGGCCACTGGTGGAGGGGAGCGATGAGGACGAGAACCAGGGGCCGGGGGACTCTGTCAGGGGCGTGACCTGCATGAGCCTTTCTGAGAGGAGTCTGTGACTCGAGTCTCATCTGAACCCGCAGGAATGAAGCACGTGCCTTCTAAAGTTACACACTGTGCTTAGTTTTTGTTTGTAATTTATTTTGTTCAAATACAGCCCCACCAGCCAGGGGTTGGGGAGACGAGAAAGGGCCTCCACGATTTACCATCTATGTACAGAAAAGTGGTGGGACGGGGGCAGAAAACCCTCTCGTTGGAAATATAAACTTATTTCACGGAAAGAGCACAGAGCCACAGCAGGGGCAAATGCTCCCAAGGGACCTCCCCCTTGCCTTCGGATCAGACGAGCTGTTGTGGCCCGTGCTGGTTGGTCCAGTCTTCGGTTTCATGATTTTCTACACCTTAGGCCAGAATCCTGGCCAGTCCTTTTCAGAAGTTGTAATTATTACACATTTCACCTTTAGGGCATGAAGGACCGAAGAAGCTTCCAGACTGGAAATTGTGGGTTTGGAGACAGAAGCCACTGGGTTTAGCTTTGAGGCTTATACTGTCCACCGGCGACTGATCTATTCTTTTCGAAAACACAGAAATTAATCCAGTGCTTCCTTCTGGGTCCCTATCAAAACTTTAAAACAACAGTAACAACTTGATTGCGCCCTTCACCCGGAAGGGACTCTGCCCATGAGAGACATAAAACGGTTTGGAGGGCATAACATTCTTTGAAAGCTCTGGGTGGAAGAAAGCCCTTGCTTAAGGAACTTAACTGAGAGCGTGCGGCCTGGGCAGGGCTGCCTGAGTTCAAAGGCACCGCTGTTAATCCCAAACCATTTCAAATTTTACTTAACTTTTCTTTCTTTCTGGGTGACTACACTGCAAACTTCTACTAATCTACTGCCAAGTAATTTTTCTGAAGAAGGTGGATACTTTACAAGACGCAGGGCCAGGGCCGTCTGTCAGCAGTGCCGGTGGCACAGCTGCGTGCAGATGAGGGCCGAGGCACCAGGGCAGCAGGCCATTGTGTTTAGGACGCGGCTCGGGCTCCGTCTCTGGCCCGTTTGCTCCGGTGGGAACAATGAGGCACTAGTCCTTCTTTACGCCTGGAAATGCTATGCCTCTGGCAACCATGGCCTTGGACAGTGGAGCCTGGTGTTTCCATAGTGGGGATTTTGTGTTAGTAGAACAGCCAGAATGTCAACTGTTGAAGGAGAGTCATCTGGTCCACACGTGCGCAGCTGGAGAGAGAGCTCGGCCGCAGATGGCATGTGGCATTTTGGCGGGTGAACGAGAAAGCAGGAAACGCTTCCTGCAGCCAAGAAGCGGGCAGCTGTTGGAAGAACCACGCTAGCAGAATTGCTCTTCCGTTCACTGCTAGGATGAGGGGTCTGGAACATTCTTTCAGACTTTCACACTATGCGATTTTTTTCTCTGGCCCGTTTGAGAGTTAAAGAACTTATAGAATGACTACGTATATACAATACCTCAAGCAGAAATAACTTCTTGAAAACAGCAAACAGTGAGATGGGCCAGCTTTTTTTTTGGCTGGCTTCTCTTCATAAAATGAATGGCGAGAATCACAACATTTAAAAATTTTGATCTTCCTAATAATTAACACAGTTCAATGCTGCTGCTGTTTTTCCCTTGACATTTATTCTCCGGGGGAAAAAAAATGGACTGATTGAGATGATTGTACCCTCTCCTTTTGTGACTTCTGGTCTCTATAGTCTTAAAAATAACTACTTACCCATATTCTGCTCATTTTTTATTTTTGATGGACCAGAATATTAGTACTAATTGGCTTTAACAGAGTGTTCCAGAAGAGTTAAGAAAAAAACATATAATCTGGCTTATTCAATGCTGCATGGACACCATTTGGTACACTACTGAATGTGAAACATTAATTGAAAACCATCCGGCCAATAAACCACTTTACCATGGCATCGTCATGAGCCAGTCAAGAAGATATACCACCTCACTCCCACAGGATGGCTACTATCGGAAAACTCAGAAGATGAGTGTTGGCAAGGATGTAGAGAAACTGGAAACCTCATGCATTGTTGGTAGGAATAGAAAATGGTACAGCTGCTAAGGAGACAAAAAAGATTCCTCATAAAATTAAAACAAAATTACCATACAATTCAACAATGCTCCTTCTGGGTATACACCCAGAAGAACTGAAAGCAGGGTCTTGAAGAGATATTTGTACACCCATGTTCAGAGCAGAATTATTCACAACAGACAAAAGGTAGAACCAAGTGTCTATTGATGGATGAAAAAATAAACAAAATGTGGTGTACAGTGCAATGGGATATTATTCAGCCCTAAATAGGAAGGGATTCTGACCCCTGCCACAATATGGATGATGCTAAGTGACACAGGCCAGTCACGGAAGGACAGATACTTGATTCATCTTCCATGAGGGACCCAAAATAGTCAAATTCATAGAAACAGCAAGTGGCACCGTGAGTGCCAGAGGCCGGAGGGAAGAGGGAATGGGGAGTTTTTAATGGGTCCAGAGTTTCAGTTGGGAAAGATGAGAAAGTTCTAACGCTGGATGCTGGTGGCAGTGGCACAACACTGTGAATGTACTTAATGCTGCTGAACCCTACACTTAAAAATGGTTACAATCATAAATTTTATGTGATGTATATTTTTTCACAATAAAAAAATAAAATATTAGATCAGGAAGTTATCTGAAAAAAATAAGTATGAAGCAGGGGAACGGACACCTGATGCTGCCTTCAGTGGACTTACCCTCTTATGTCACTGCTTCCTGCCTGCTCCAGGAGCCACCGAAGCTTTGTGGGGTGTGTATTAGATTACCTCAGGCCCACGCCTTCCCTTGCCTCTTGTCTGAGAAGGAGTTCACCGGTCCTCTGCTCTCACCCACCCTCCACTCCCTGCCCCCACCTCACCCTTGCAGTAGGGGTCAAGCAGAGATGTCCAGAGGCATTTGGTTGAGAAACACTGATCCCATGGATATTCACATAAAATGCTCCAGTGGAATCTGTTAACAAGGTGTGTTTTATCACTTTGGTACGAGGACTAGGGGGGAAGGAAATTAAAGGTGCAGGGAAGGATGGTGCTGGAGAACTCTAGAACCAGGAGCCCATTTTGCCCCAAACACTTTGTACCAAATTATAACGGTGACCTGTATGACCAAGAGACAGGTGAATCCTTACCACGGAGAGGAGCTTTCATTTTAAGAGGAGCCTAGTGACATTTTAGTTTACAGGTAGAAGCTGTCCCTGGAAAAATGTGGTTATGCAGGACTCATGGTTGGTCGTCTTGACCCAGGTTGAGTCGGTCCTTCCCCACGTCCCTATTTCTAAGCAAATTACACAGACTGAGAGGTAACTGAGCCGTTTCCCTGCCCCTCATCAACATGAATTTCAGGGTTGAAGCCGCCCCTGACCTGGGCAGGAGGCTGGACACTGGACGTCACACTGGCTTTCACAGCTGTGCCTGTTGCTCCACTTCTAAAATTCCTCTGGATATGCTCTAATATTCCGTCTTGAACAAAGACGAGGGACCTGTGTCCTCTGTTTTAGAGCCCCGGCCATCCACGTGCTTGCGTCAGGGGCCACCTCCGCAGACCGCGAAGACGCGACCCCCCTAGACGCTCACGAAGAGCAGTAGACTGTGGCTCTGCTTCAAGAAATGTCCTTGAGCTAAACCGTCTCTCTGTCCCTCCAAGCTTCCGCAGGTTCACTCGCTCCAACAGCGTGACGACGGCAGTGCAGGCCGACCTGGACTTCCACGACAACCTGGAAAACTCCCTGGAGTCTCTAGAGGACACTTCGTGCCCGGGCCCGGTGGCCAGACAGTTCTCCCGGGACGCCAGCACCTCCACCGTCAGCATCCAGGGCTCAGGAAACCACTACCACGCCTGCGCGGCCGACGAGGACTTCGACGCGGATTTCGACCCTTCGATTCTGCCGCCCCCGGATCCCTGGATCGACTCCATCACCGAAGACCCCCTGGAGGCCGTTCAAAGGTCAGTGTGCCACCGGGACGGCCACTGGTTTCTGAAGCTTCTCCAGGCGGAGCGAGACCGCATGGAAGGCTGGTGCCAGCAGATGGAGAGAGAGGAGCGCGAGAACAGCCTGCCCGAGGACAGTAAGTACGGCGGCCGCGCGCCC